AGATCTGGCACGCTCCTCCGCAGCGTCCGCTAGCGCGCTATAATTAAATCCCACATCTGGGCGCGCGGCGGGGTCCCCAGAGCAACACAGTGCGGAAGCATTAGCGTGTATTTGTGTCCTGGGGCCGAGAACGCATTTTGCGCAAAGCATGCTGGGTAGCAGAGTGAACTGTCCTGGGGACGAGAGTTTGTGGCGCGGGCGGACGCTGCCAGATTTGGTCGGCGAGAGTCGCCATATTTGCATGACAGTCGTCGATTTTTGAGGTAAGTTTTTCATATGTTATCGATATCTGAGTGCTATAGAAATCTCAGTGTGCTATCTTTGGTGTATGTAGCCTTTGGAACAAGGTAAATATATATGTGAATAACATTTAGTGGTTGGCGATGGCGATTTGAAAACTGTAGAAAATTTGTGCTAATTTTTGCAAGTTACATATGTACGGCTTTCATCGCCTTGGTTTTACTTTAAATTGAAAATTTACACGTTTGTATCAACTCGTAGCCATATTATGTTGACCATAGATTACCGTCGGTACAAAATTTTGGATAATATGTATCAAAGTAGGTGGTGGCGGTAGGCTAAACTTGGGTGTTATTTTTTGACAAGATGGCTGCCATGTTGTTTACGATCTCGTAAATTTTGCTCAAAGTTCATGGCGTTTTTTTGTAGACATAACGTCCCTCCTGTACCCCAATATTTTATCAACTTGTACTCTGATATACATAGATTTGGTGGCGATATGTTTTTGCTCCGCAACTTCGCTAATCATCAGTGTTGCGACCTGGAAAGTTTGTAGTAATTTCACATGGGCGGGGGGGGGGGTGTTTGGGCAACGCCTCAAGGTTGGCTGCGTTGTTTGAACACATTCCATTTTGCAGTCTATTTCCAGTGCTCTATTTCTAGGATAGATTTTGTGGGGTGTTGTACGTTGTTATTTTACTTTCATTTAAACAAGTAAGGAGCTAATCAGCATGGTAAAACTTACTAAAAGTAATTTTACCAGCATTTTTTTTAGAATTACTTGCTCAAAGATATTTAAACCTCATTGCTTGCCATATTCAGCCAGGGGCCTTTCAGCAAGACCACTTAGCTTTGATAGTTTGTTCTGAAATGTCAATTTTTTTAAATTTAGAAATGGATAATTAAATATAAGCCATCCCCTAAATGCACACATTTTGGTAACAATTTTGGATGCAGTCTTTGATCTAAATAGTGATTTAGCATTTCATTTACAGCCACATCTTTTTATTATGAATGAATGCATGGCCCAAAAGATATTTTTTCCTTACCCTAATGGTGTATTTTCAATTTTAGGTGTGGCCAGAGACGTTCAGACTTCTTGTACTGACTTGATGAAAGGGAGCAGTGTTTGAAATTCAGGTGAGACAGTGCTTTAATATGTTACTTTCTTTTGGTGTGTTGAATTTTTTTTGAAAGTTACATTTTGTAGTCTATTTCTAGGATATATCTGATGGAAGGCTTTACAGTCTGATATGCAATCTAGTAGGGCATTAGATTTACAAAGTTTGTAAAGTACATGGTGATGAAGAACTGACGATGCTTGTTAACAATATATATCTTTTTAATGACAGAAATGGATGATTGTGACTCGTCATCGGATGATGAGCCACTGGCCAGGTTGCTACCACAACACTCCCCATCAACAACCCCAACGAAGAAAATTGGGACATGCAAAGAAGTGGCATCTGAGGACAGCCTGCCAGTGGCCAGCTTGCTACCGGAGCAGTCACCACCACTAGCAACTACACCGACTACAACACCAAGGAAGGACAAAAAGCGGCTGCTGACACCAAACTCCAAGTCTCTGCCTCAGCCTTCTTCGAAACGGACAAGTGCTGACAGGAAAGAGGAAGAAAAAAGATGTTCAGCTGCAATGTCTGTGGTTCTTAGTTGTCAGGCCGTCCCCTACAGTTACATTCGGGGCATTTTTTCAATGGAACACATAGCCATCATCATCAACATTAGCTTCCTGTATCTGATTGACCAGGTCATCAACCTCATTGATCGTTTCGACATTTCCACCAGAAAATTGCATGAAAATATCTCTATCTTCTGTAGACGGAGCTACAAACTGCTCCAACATAAACATCATGGCATTATGGCCCATCCTTCTAGCAAGGGCTAGTGGGGATGGAAAGTGTACAAAAGTCAGACCATCCACAGACAAGCTGTAAACTGAGTGGGTATACCCTGGCCTTGAAAGCTGATGTCTGTTATCCAGCTGTTACATGATGTATTTAGTGATAAGTAGTGAGCTTCTGTATACTATTGTTTGAGTACTGTTATTTTGACTCTGACGCTGAAGACATTGTGGCAACTCTTGCTGTTTTGCAGGAAAGGTAACTTCGTATATATTTACATATACTAGTATATATTTCAACTGCTGGGTCACTTGATAAGGTTTCCAAGAAGATGCCACTCTCTCTGTATGTATGTTATGGTATTGTTTAACCTGAACATTTGTAAAGAAGCATCAGTTTGACTAAGAAAATGGCACACATATGAAAGAATGCCCCAAAAGGGGGGAAAGAATCATGTTGAATATATTCAAGAATAAATGTGATGTAACAGAATGTTCATGTGTGTGGTCCTGCATTGTCTTTAGGTAGGTGTTCAATTGGGTATGAAAATTAGTGCAAAGTTACTATCTTAGTATCTTTTTATCATCAGGTTGGTAAGTCATTGAATGAAGAGAATCATTTTACACAACCAGGAGTTTTATTCACAGCCAACATTTTGGTGACTACTTGTCACCTTCCTCAGGGCAAATCTGACTCACATTGCACAGCATAGGTGATGCTGCAATAGATGCAAAATATTTACATATTTACACGGTTACAGGAACAATATCTACAATGCGGTCCCAAATGTAAAGAAGCGTGATATATACATCATTGTTGTCAAATGAAGAAAAGAAAAACAAACAGTTACAGGGAACAATATCTACAATGCGGTCCCAAACGTACTGTACAATAGTGTAACACGCACTTTTCTTCTACTTCTTGAGAATGTGGTCCCAAAGTTTCACATTGCACAGCACAGGTGATGCTGCGTTAACAGATACAAAAAAAAATTGGATATTTACACAGTGACAGGAAACTATCTACAATCCTAAATGTAAAGGAGTGTGATCATTGATGTCAAATGAACTTCACAAGTATAGAAAAAAACCGATGCAGGGAACATTATCTACAATACCCTATCTGCAAATAAGAATAGCATGCAGTATCTCCATAAATAGACATAAAATACTCTACCTTGTGAACATTGTTACAGCTATATCATTCTGAATAGCGGATTCCGCCATCCTCCCTGGGAACATATACATAGACGAGAACTTATGTGTGGGACTCTTAGGCACTATAACCTCTTTTAATATTATGTCCATTCTTGTAAGGATTCGTATGAATTTCTGGCACAACTTCAGATTAAAACCGGAATTCTGTCCCAGTCCGAACTCAGGAAGCTCATCCAGTTTGAGCTGCTTTACTTCTTTACCCGTCCCTAGTCCTAGGAAGACTCTGGCAAGAAGGGAGGGCGGAGGCTTCTGTTTTGCCGCCTTCTCCGTAGTAGCGTCCGGTTTTGCCCCATGTTTTGCGCGGAAGTGCACGTCCAGACCTGCACCTCTCTGGAAAAACACAGCATAATAAAATTGCCGTGGCAGTCATTGTGAGGACACGGAACCCTCCCCTCTCTGGAGGCTCGACAAGCGCCACTTTCTGTGTTTTTGGACACTTCTTCGCTGTTTTCCAGCCTTTCCGCCATTTCCAGAGCGTTGTAACGCCGCTCTGACAATCTGTTGGCATGTAGATTTCCCCATTTTGGCACCTTTTCCCCGCCAGAGAGTCTGGTAACACGTATACGACGATCGCTACCGAGCGCGGTGTCTCCCGATGGCTATTTTTGGCTGCCCGTTACGTAGCGGAACTGTTGCATATGATTATCTTTCGGGTTTCCATGGCGGTCGGCCATTCTCGGCAGCGATCGGGGCTGGGCGGGTCTCCTTCGGCGCCTGCATACATTATCTCCGCCTGGCCCGGCCAGCTCATTAATTATGCGGCGGCCATCTTGAATCCAGTTATACCAGCGTCCGTGGAGAATGCCAAAACTCCCTCCGTGGCTAAGTTCCTTCCGCGACTAACTCCCTTCTGGGCAAATGTAGAGGGATAACGGTACACCCTCATAGCGTCACCAAATGAGGTACTTTGTAAAGGTCCGTTTCATTTGGTATATATTACCATTGTGACAGCATTTTATACCCCAAAATAGGAATCTTGCGTCTTGTTTTAGGTCCCGATTGTAGAAAGAATGCAGTGTACATGTATTCAGATTCCCGTATTCAGATGGCCGCCGTGTAACGTTACGTACTAGCGAGCGCGCACGACAATACCGCCAGAGTAGAGTAGGTTATCATAACCCTTTAGAAAGCGCAAAGAAAACAAAAACGACAGATTTATTTTCCATTTTCCATTTTCCATAGCCTGGGCTAAGCCACGATCTATAACCTATGGCTTCTCCACGGGCGCTGGGGACGAGCGTGCCTAAAGGACATTAGGTGAGTTTAAGTCATAACGAAGTGTTTTAATGTATCATCACTGCTCGAATATTTCCATTTTACTTCAATGGCTACGGATGAATTAATATGCAAGCTAGCTGAGGCTAGCTTTTTCCTCCGATTTGTTTTGTTTTTGACACCTCTGAGTCTGTTGGTACCCCTTGGGAAAATGGTAACAAAACTCCAAAACAAAGGTAATGAAGCCAAATAGAACAGACATTTCATGGTAACGCAAACATTTCTTCATATAGGTTGTAATTCCCCGGCATATTTCTATGGATATAATGTAATACACGCGAACATGAATTTAGTCGAATGATATGCACACTGAACAAAGTCGCGTATTTTTTTTGGTCTCATTAAGTTGTCTGTAGCTATGTCTCAGGGGACCATGAGCGTGTTTGCCAGAATATTGAAATGATTCTGTTTTACTCCAGGTCCTGGCTGGGAGAATGTTTGAAATGGTGTCCGACATCTTTACATCATCTTGCTGCTGCTGAAAGTAAAGTGTTGAAATGTACGCTATCAACGGTTTAGTCTTTCTTTTGGCAACTCCTCAGTAGCGGCGCCAATTTTATAGTATTAACCACATTTTTAAAGCAAAAGAAATGATTTATGTCTCACACCTAATCATGGAAGTAATATTGTACATTAATATATATAAAGAATTAGTACTAGTATGAGTGACACTAACACTATAGAGTGTTCCCCTATCTAATCAAAACGATTATGTACAGTTCAAGTTTTGTAACGTCAACACTGTTTCCTTACTAGATGTGAAAGGGAGATTGGAGAGATTCTACGTCCCCATCTCTAGCGGCAGACGGATATGGACCCTAAAGGTGGGCTCCCACAAGCCAGACGCTCTCCCCATCGTGATGGTTCACGGATACGGTGCCGCAGCAGGCTTCTTCTTCTTGAATTTCGACTCCCTCGCCGAGCACCGCGAAGTCTACGCGTTCGACATACTTGGCTTCGGACGGAGTTCTCGGTACGAGTTTAGCACAAAGGCAGACGTCACGGAAGAGGAGTTCGTGAGTTCTATCGAAGAGTGGAGGAGCAGTGTAGGTCTGGAGAAGTTCGTCCTGATGGGTACGAGTTTTGGCGGTTTTCTGGCGGCCTCCTACGCTATCAAACACCCCGGGAGGGTCACACACCTGGTGCTGGCAGACCCCTGGGGATTCCCTGAGAGGACGGAACAGGCTGCGAAGGAGTTACGGAAACAGGTATGGTGTTCCCATGTCACATGAATGAAAATCCACATTCACAGTTAGACTAATAGTAGCATCAAATGCATTGTTAGACGTTTCAGTACATACATACAAAATAGCTATAGGTCGATATTTATTGTCAATTGCAATTAGAAGTTCAACCAACTTAGTACTAGTGATACGAGTAACATGGTGCTTTGTGGTTCATGTTCGTCTATTATCATGCATTTTTGTGCCTTTATTTTGCATTTATACGCGAGTTCAAACGCCCTATAAGCTACAGTTTGTTGATAAGGATGAAGCTTTGTTGTTCTTGTTGCAGATGTCATTCTGGATGAAGATTGTTTGTCCCTTGATGTCACATTTCAACCTCCTGGCGCCATCGAGAGTTGCAGGACCATTGGGTAAGTATAAAGAAGCACGACGTTACGTTTCTTTTAGTCATCTTTTTTCATATTTATATAGAAAATTGAAAGTCTAATATTAACACGACACACCAAATTTATATTTACTGCCACAGGTCCACAGCTTCTGCGGTGGGCACGGCCAGATATAAGAAACAAGTTTGCGGACGGGTTTCAGGACAACACCGTCATTGACTACCTCTATCACTGCATTGCACAGCCACCAAGGTAGGGGGAGCTTTCTTACGTTCGTTCATAAGGCCATGTTCCGTTGTGGTCACGATTTTTGTGTGGTAGATAACTCATGGGCTCAGAAATAAGTGGAGTTGGTTTTAGTCTCTTAAACGCAGTGGCTTGAACTACAGACGTATATTTGTTGGAAATGTTGAAAAAGGATAACTCAAGAAGGGATGCTATATCATATCTTCTGCTTGGACTTTATTGCTAATGCCATATATTCTGTGGCATATTTCAGTGCAGAGACGGCATTCAGGCACTTACAAAATGGCGGCTGGGAGTGGGCTAAGAACCCCATGCTCCCCCGCCTGTACAGTTTGGACCCGGATGTGCCTATCACATTCATCTACGGGACCGACACATGGATGGACAGCAAGACTGGGGAACAGGCGGCCATTTTACGGAAAGGCTCATCTGTGGACACAATTGTAAGAACTTGGAAGTTTCTCCTTTTTCTGTTTTGAACACATATCGATTTGAAGACATACAAGTGTGTTCAATTCCTAATCTTGAAATTGAACCTAGTTTGTAGTTCAGGTATGATGCCGCTGGATCGCATATGAAGTTTGTGACCGCATGCCATGGTAATTAAAAATGTATATTCCGTTATTGTTGATACTTGAAGAAGCAACATGTTACAGGGGCATGTTAAATTGTAATTGTCTAAATTCATTTTCAATGGACTCATTGGCCCTCAGGAAATTAACACACAAATCAAACAATGAGCGTGTATGGATAAGAAGGCAACTATACTAAAACATTGTATCTTCATTTCCACAGTTCAAAATGTTCACAATGTAAGTCTTGTTTGTTCACAGTACATTAAGAATGCTGGGCACCACATGTACGCGGAACAACATGGCGACTTTAACAGGGAGTTGGTGAGAATATGCAAACATGCGGATAAAAAAAAGAACATCATCTGTCCGTGTCGACAGTGAAAATATCATCATGTTACTAGTTAAAGAGATTGGTTGCTTGAGATTCAATGAAAGATCGTATGGCAACCATGTACAATGGAACGAGCAGCGCACAGTGAAACAAGAAATTAGAAAGGGCATTTAAAACTTCTAGGAAGCATTTCCCAAGCCAGCCACCCAAAACAATACTTCCGTACTTGGAAGTACATATACAACATCCACTATGATGGGTTATTGTGAACATGCACCTGGCCTATGCCTTCCTTGTTGTTGTTCCTCTCTTGCAAACGTAAGACTCTAACGAACTATTCATCACTTTTGGGGGATGCCTTGATACATATAGATAATATGTAACACCTAACATTAACGACACAGTCTATCTATTTAGTTATCATACCATCTAGTTAGTATAAATACAAGGATGTTGGAAAGTAGTATCTAATTTCAAAATGGTTCATGATATACTTCTTCTGCTTTGGACTGTCAGTAATGTTGTTTACACGCGAATGCTATAAGTAGGACTCCTACTTGTGACTAAATTCCTTACATTTCTGAGGCTATTACTACGCTATAAAACAGCACGTTTTTAAGGAGAACTAGTGGTCCTCAACTGTCAGATATCTGTCTTTCACAATTGATATTGATTGCTGACTAACAAAACAATACAAAAATCATTAGCCTGTGTATTTTGCATATACAATATCTGGTCAATAATAGTATAGAATAGAATGTTATAGTATTATTTGTGATATTATAATATTATAGTATAGAATTGTATAGAATCAAGCAAATGGTTTTAGAAGCTTAAGCACTGGAAAAACATGCTAAATGTCACTTTCCATTCGGAGCTCAACACCGTTACTCTTGCTGTTTTTGGAACGCTCCCCGCATACCTGAAAAATAGCAAACGGTGTGTCACTTATCGTTGAAAACTAATTTTGCAGAACGTATGCACGCACAGCTATCCCAAGAATGTTCTTAGTTTGCGATCCTGTGAAAACGTACCTTTTTGATACATTTGCGGCACTGGTGTCCGAAGCACTCGAACAGCCCGACGATAGCGCCGGCGGTGATGCCGAGGAGAAGCACGATGAACACGCCCTTGAAGTTGTTGATGCGGAGGACGCCATCTTGTTTTTTGTGCTTCATACACTTGCCGGGTTTCTCCAACCACCTGTGAGACAAATATAAATTAGACGACATTAAAAAGTTAGACGTTGAAGCCTTCGTGCTATTTGGCACCACCCGTTTTGTATAATGTTGTCATTTCGACGGCATGTTGTCAAAATAATTGGTTGTGTCACTAAGAAAGGTGAACCATTCATACAGATTACAAGAGCATCTATGGTGATATTTATAAGTATCAACGTCTTTTCTTTAAAACATTCACCACATAAATGCATACTTGGTTACAACTACTCATTTCAGAATAGTTGTAATACATTGAGAGCTTGTTGTGGAGCCTATGAAGGTCTGAAATGAGTAGCAAGAACATATAACAACATAACCATGCGTTAAGAAACAACAATGTCGCCTCGATCAATCATGAATGGCCTTACTTGCTCCTAAGGTGATCCATGATTCCGTCGTCCTGCAGTTCCATTAGGGCCCTGTTGATTGGCTCGATGAACGGAGACCCAGCAGGAAATGGCAAAGCAATCTGGAAAGAATAGTCAAAACCAAAGCTATGTGGTTTAAGTGTATTCACAGCATCCAAACTAAAGACATTGAACTGTTAAATCAGAAGATGCTACTTTAGATATTTGATTAGTGAGGGAAGAGAGAGAGTTTGTACTTGCCATGGACTTGAAAAATGGAGCCGAGCCCAAAGTCAGATTACACCACTTGTTCTGCAGAAGGTACTCGTAGTTTGCGTCGCCGATGAAGGCATAGTTTCCCTCGGAAGCCCGCTGCAGCCCCTCCTCCTTCCTGTTCAGGATGGCCGTGTCGCTGTGCTCCTGCATGTACTTCCCCATCTCCCTGAAGGGCGTCAGAGTTGTGTTCTTCAGGAACTTCAGCAGAGTGTAATCCTTGTAGGTGCCTGTTGATGACAAAATGGACCACAGTGAAAAGCTAACGTATTTCTTCAATCGATAAATTCTTTTCGGGTTGCAAAACAGTTGTGTACAAAGAACTTTGTTAATCCAATATGTGATCGTTTTTTTTCGAAGAGGCCCCTTGTCCTTATACTATTGTGGTTTGTTTATTGGTTGCACCCATATGACCATTACACATGCAGTACTAGTACTCATTGGTTTAAGATTAATAAGTATTTACCATAGGGCATGAGGCGGTCAGCGACCAGCTGTTCAGGGGTGTGGACGGCGTACACTTTGTTCGCCCTCCCGAGGAAGGCCGCCAGGTTGGCTGTGTACGAGGCTACGGTCACCAGCACGAAGAACCACCAAGTCCCAGCAACAACCTGAAATGGAGGAAAAATACTTTACAGCATCTACCAATCAGTGATGAGAATAAACGTCTAATTCAAGCGATGTTCACATGTTGCACTCACGTAACTGTGACGGTATTGTCCGTCATTTTGGGTGGTTAAACCTGGGAGTTGTTTTGTAAACCTGAATGTGTACATGTAATTACAGTTGCGTGCAAACACAACGCATGCATGCATTCTTTAGCCAGTAGATTCATTGATGCTGAACATAGCTAATGTGTTTGTATTTCATGGCTTACCCGTCCTGCTGTTGATTTCGGCAGGTTTTCTCCGCCCTGTCCTACCAGACAGCCATACGTGAACCACGCGCTCTGCACCAGGTTGAAGTGGTTCCCTTCCTCTTTGTCCACCACGCCGCGGGCTGCCAACTGGTGCCATTCAAATGGGTTAAGCCTAGAAAATAGCACAAATTCAGATCAACATCAGATCGATATCCAAACGGAAACAAGATGGCACAGACGTGACGTCAAAATCCAACATGGCGGCACCCATGGTCGTCGACGAAAACTACACGGGTTGTGAAGATGTTTAAAGTTAAAACCTTAGATCCAACACAACTAAGTTCTCTCACCTTAAGCTCTAGGTGAGAGAACTTTATTGTGTTGGATCTAAACTTTTAGCTCTAAACATGTAGCTACCAACACAGATGAACTTTCATGCTAGGTTGTGAAGATCATTCATCATGTACTTACCAGTTGATGATGAAAAGTGAGACGGTGACCGCGAGGAGACCTGCGCCGATGGCGGCCCAGACCCAGATGTCGAACGGCGCCAGGAACTCGAACAGACCGGCGACGTCCATGATGTTGAGCGAGCTGTCAGGGCGCTGGTTTATGATGTAGTAGCCTTGGTGTGCGATGGGGAAGGAATATTCCAGGACTTCGGTGCGCCTGGAGCGAGTTGTGGCGCCGTACAGGACAGTGTCAGCCTGTTGGTGTGAATAAGGCATAAGGTAAGGTAAGGTAAGGTAAGGTAAGGTAAGGTAAGGTAAGGTAAGGTAAGGTAAGGTAGGATAAGGTAGGGTAGGGTAAGGTAAGGTAAGGTAAGGTAAGGTAAGGTAAGGTAAGGTAAGGTAAGGTAAGGTATGGTATGGTAAGGTATGGTATGGTAAGGTATGGTATGGTAAGGTAAGGTAAGGTAAGGTAAGGCAAGGTATGGTAAGGTAAGGCAAGGTAAGGTAAGGCAGGATATGGTAAGGTAAGGTATGGTTAGGTAAGGTAAGGTAAGGCAGGGTATGGTTAGGTAAGGTAAGGTAAGGTAAGGTATGGCAAGATCAAGCATATCAGCAACTATTTTGTGAGTGGAGTATAGGTACGAAATTGTTACCCTTGTTCTACTTCCTTTCTGCAGTGTATTTCCAGGCTGTACTAATGCATGTTACCAACTAGATCAATCCGTACACAAGGAACTTCATACCTCGCCACGGACTAGAGCACCGGTCAGTCCCCTCCATTCACCCCTCACCTTCTCACCCATGGAGTCTCTTGTCAAGGTCATCACCCAAGTGAAGCCAAGACGTTTCTAAAGACGAGAAAAATAATAAAAATCCAAGGCTGTCACTGACTCAAACACTACTTGTAAATACAGAATGACTTTATTGCGCAACAGATGTAGCGGGTACAACGTATGGCAAAATATACATACATAGTTGGTGATACTAACATACATACATACATAGTTGGTGATGCTAACATACATACATACATACATACATATAGTCGATATAAAAAGAAATTATCGACAAGTACAACATTGTACATGATTCTACCTGCACAACTATGTTTCATGTCCTTAAGATCGTCCAGTGATACTGCAACTTTACACTATAGTGGCCAGGGTTTTATGCTGAAGAATGTACCTTCAAATGGTCCATCAAGTCAGGTAGGAAACCTTTGAATTTCTTTCTCTGGCAGATCTCTCCAACCTTGCAGTTACCACCATCCTTCACGATTAGCCATGGGTCCTTCTGCAAAGTGTAGTAACAAATAACTAATGTCAAAAGCACGGAAAACAGAGCCACTAATTAAATTGTCCCTTATTAGTGCACATAGTCAATTACAGCGAGAGGAGTGCAAAATCGATTGCTATTAGGCATTAAGGCAGCAATTTCACGTAAAGGCCCCTCACCCCCCCTAAAAAACAGATCGTTGGAGTGATGCAATGTATGTTTTGATGACAGATTATGCCTGCTGCCATTGGATATTCTATACCTGTCTCCCAAGGATCTTGAGTTCTGCTCCTCCTAAGATGGGGTCGGTTGACTGACTGTCTGTCAGTTTTGTCCACTTTTCCAGAGCGACTCCCTGTCTCTCATCCCACTGTCCTATCTAAAAAGAGATTTAAGTATAATGATAAATATAATGTGCACTCGTATGTGCTAAGAGTTTTTAAAAGCTTCACTCTGTCTCTCTGAGACAATAGCCCGCACTTATGAGCGCCATTTTGAAATGTACTCCCGCGAGAGTACAGCATGGCAAGAACACACGTGAGCTTGTAATTTCGCAAAAACGAGGCCAGGAAGGGACGTAATGGCAATGAAGCTACTTACGTGCTCTGGTCGTCCTTCAAACGACAGTTCCATTATCTCAATGGAGAACTTCACACGCGTTCCCTGCGGACCAAAGGCCACCATCCCTGACCTCCCGTTGAACCCAACCTGTTTTAATGAAATTACCATTGATTAACTGTGATAAATGTCCCTGATATCTTTCCTTGCCCTACAAACAGAGACAGGAACTAAATTAAATGGTGGCTTCACGGGGTTATTAGGGCTAATTGCCAGCTACAGAATATCTTTTAATCTTACCTTAAGTGGTAAACGGCTGAAGTCAGTGACTTAACTCCCTGGTAGGCTAAAGTTAGCTTTTATTACGTTAAAGTGCAATTAAGAGCACATAAAGTCCAGCGTATGTCTGTAAATGAATCGGCATTAAAGCATTCAAATAACACTGCAAACTAAGATAAGAGGGCAACACGTACTGAGTACAAATCAGTCGCAGAATGATGTGCATTTAATTTCATGCAAACGAGCAAAACATTACACACCTTGAAAGAGTGTTGGAGAACTGAATAAAAAAACTGGGCTCCTTAAACCCTCATCTATGTAACTAAGAAATATATCTACACGTTTAAGGGATGACAGGTATGCCTGAATTCGAATCCTCTACAGTCTGCTCTTAAAGATGTATCTGATGTTGCTTACCCAGCACACTACAATGCTTCCCCATACCTTATAGACTGCAGATCCTACTTGGTCGCAGATGTCCTGCTCCTCGGCCAGAAGCCTCGCCGCGTGCCAGACCGCCAATGCCGCATCGAAGGTCATGGCAGCCTGCAGGGTGTCGCTTTGGTTCTCGCTGCTGAAGGTCTCGAACTTGGAGTACGGCGTCTCGTGTGTCCGCAGCCGGAACAGGGTCATCCGCACTCCGGTATTCCTATGGTGGTACACTTGAAGTCCATTCTCTTCCTGTAGAAGAGACAGCAATGTGTAGCAATTTTGCTTTTAATCATCTTCCTAATATCCCCGCACTTGGAAATATATTATCATGGAAGTCAACAACTGTCAAGGAGGCTGTAATCACTCACCAAGGTGGTAAGAATCCAGTGGTATCTTGGGTCGAGCATTAGATGATGAAGAGCCTGTATGGTTATAATGAAATTACTTTAAATCTTAAAATTCATGTTTTCTTTGATTTCAAGCCAAACTGCTGGATGAATTGATCGTAATTATTGGAGTCTGCATTGAATGAATGTTATGTATAAATTGGGATAAATTGTTGATGAGAGATTATTACAAATCTCTCATCAAATTGTTGATGAGAGATTTGTAAGGTAGTTGGTTATACAAGAAGTTGAATATGTTGTTCATGGTTGTTTTCATTTGTTTATCAGAATACATGAGTAGACGTACATAGTGAAGAACTTCGTTGGTTGCGTGAGCATCTGCGATGATCAGAAAACGCTTTTCCTTGCGCTTCTTGGACCTCCTCAGGAAGGTCTCCAGTTGGACATGACGGTCGGTGGGATGCGCGGGTATCTCAGCCACACGGTAGTAGATGTTAGAGTGGCTCATCAGAGACATCAGTGCTTCAAACACACCGTGGTAACCTAGAGGTGGTAAGGCAACGCTTTGTATTTTCATCATGGAAGTTCCAACAATGACGTGATTCACTGCATTAGGTTGTATTTTGAGTTTTAACGAGTTTGTATGATCTAATCGTTCCACATTACGTATTCTTTTTGTTGTTGCGTGGCCTGTATACAATCAACACTGCCTAGTCTATTATTATGTCTTTGCCATATTTCACTCAAACCACCATCCGCAATACATCATACATATTAAAAATTAAGCTTAATGACAACGAAAACTTTCAAAAGAAATTATTTCAATATTGTTTCCCATGTTCATACCAATGTTCTATTCCTGATATCAAACAAAGATGCTGCTGGTCACTGAAACGTAATCATTATATTAAGATTTCTTACCTCCACTCCTGTGAAAGAAAACTGTCAGAGAACGCCAGTTGAAAGTTTGAATCGTCTGGTGCAGCATCACGGCCATCTGATTGGCTGATGGGTGGATTTCAAGTATGTTGACGCTTGACAGTTTGTTGTTGTCTTCACTGACGGGAGGGCCCACCCGTATGATCGGCTGTGGCAGGGCGCGTAACACGAATGAAGAATCTGGGCAGTGGTCATTCCAGCAGTCCAGCAGAACGGTAGCGCAGATGTCTTCTTCCAGGAATTCTTCCATTTCTGTTCACAAGGGAGATACAATTAATTGTATGTCATTTTTAAGCATAGTATTACGTTTTAGCTATTATTTGGGATATATTCATAGCTCTGCAACGACAGATGGTTATCAGGATGTTGCAGCATGTCGGTCGTCATTTCAAACTGCATCGAGTAAGTTTCATCTTACAAAATGTTTTTTAACAGACAAACAAACAAACAAACAAACAATCAAACAAACATACAAACTAATTAACTGGATGAATAATATGCTTTTCTAATTGATATATGAAGCCATGCTGTGTATCAAGACTAGCAACTTGAAACGCATTGCCTTCTAACACGTTTAATTTCCTTACAAATTTGAACAAACTTAAGTGTTGTTTATAATGAACCTGAACTTCATTGTTAACATAATGGATCTTCGTAGAAATCGCATACCTTTATTCAGTGCCGTGAGGTTAGCATCTGTGACGTCGATTGTTTTCTCCACCGTGGAGAGCTGTAGTGTTCTCGGGAAGGCGCCACTTTCCCGGATGATCCCCATGGCTCGGCTAAAATCAGAGGAGGCCCGGCCAAGGTTCATAACCCCTGGAGTATTCAACATGTGAAAAGAGGAAAAAAATGAAGAGACTAACATTCCCAAGAAATGATACACGATATATTTAAGTCATTCAAAAGGATATCTATTCTTCGGATGCAACGAAAACAAGAGCACAACTCGCAAAAACGGCAATGAAGACTCTTGTGTAATTTTTCTAAACAAAACACCCAAACGCTAACTTCTTGAACATCATTCTACAACGTTTGTTTTGTACTTGAAGCCTTAGGTATATATGTAAAACAGTTTTCTCACTTACCAATTGTCATGTCCACGGCCAGGGCACATCCCACTGTCAGAGCGAACACGAAACACTGCAACACACCCTCCATGTTTTACCTAGTCTGGACGGCAATGCCAGAGCAACGGCCCACAAGACGAGCTAGACCGTAAAATGTACTCACTGCCTTTGCCAAAGAGATAACGAAGTTGCTGTAGCCTAAGAAGACTAATTGAACTGATAAGAAAGAACCTCTTTAAGAAAATTGGTCTCTGTGCATTACGCCAAGAAGTTCCCACTCTTAAAACAGCATTACGCAGAGATCAGGCGCACTGAGTGGGCTCTTCTACTAAATGATGAATGCTGTAACTACAGCCGTCTGCCGGACAATATACCATTAGATAGCAGCATTGATATAATAATCACATGTATCTGAAGGACATCTACGAATAGATACAATCTATAAAAATATGTATCCGAGAGCAACACTTGTTTTGCCTTCATGAGAAAAAAAAAAGAAAATTTGAGATAGACTTTCCAAGAAAATTGTGCCCACAACTGCGTTCTTCCGTCGCTTTGTATTTATTTTCACATGGAAGAAACTATTTATTAAAGATTACCTTCTCTTACACTACGAAGGGGCCGAAAGAATTTGATTTCATAGATCTCATCTTTGTTCATGAATAAAAGAAGCACGTGCTATCAAAAAATCAAAGAAAGAACTTCATTTTGGGAGGCTGACAGACCATTTGTGGATAGATTATCGGTCACAGGTGGGTGATATATGCTGTCTAAGATAGCAGAATGTAATTAAAAGCAGCCCAAACTACATTACGCACGTTAGTGATAAAATCAGTTGCATAAGTGGCTGCCATGTGGTAAATAGTTCCAAGAATTAGATTTTACGACAGAGCTTTAGCTTAGCATAAACCTTGACTGAAACAGGACGAGAAGAAACGGGGATTTCATAGCCTGGTTGCCAACCTTTTTAGCTTTCGTCCGCTCCCCACGATCCGCTAAAAATGCTGACACTCAGGCTAGAGATTTCACACTTTCGGAGAGAATTTTGTGTTTTCGTTTCACCCCATTTGTCTGTGTCTGACCTTTTGACCTCCTGTTATTCTGCACATCAATCTCCCCTATCCACTTGCTGTCAACCTACTCTGAAAATCACTCTATTTGCTGTGTCTAACCTTTTAACCTCCTATTATGCCTGACAATCTTCCCCAAACGAACTGGACCTCTGGAGACAATACTGCCTATAGGGTAGGGTGGTGTTCCACGTTCTAGAGTTCTAATTGGTGTGCTCTATTCCGTTAATCCATTCGTAGATCATAATAAGGTGTTTCCCATTGCACATGCATGGCGTGATGCATTGTGGGCAATATGTGTGTATAAAGCAATGGAAGATGTCGTTTAACTTATACCCACAATACATGACGTCGGGCATGCGCAGTTGAAATCACGGGCCCGCGTATTGTTCTTCAATGCAGACGTAAATAAGACATTATACACAGCTTTGGTCAAAACGTTTATTTGACTATTATCATCATATTACGGTTTATTACATATTACTTTGCTGACACAATATAATCAAGTCACATGCTAAGTAATATCTACATAATCATGCATAAACATTTTGTGGTCAATACTTGCATATGTCCTGGTCTTCTATATTAACATGAAAGCCATGTACGGCAAACAAATATAAAAGAGTCCTTATTTCATGAACAAATTTGTAGTTGGAGACGAAATACTTCGCACTGTATCTAAGCATATATGTGAGTACTTTCACTTACAATGGAAGTCACTGTCCATTTTCATATGTATTTAATTCGCCTTATAGGTAAGTTATACAGTCAACACAAAGCTACATATATATGGTGCATATAGACATATACAACATTTAAGTTGGCATGTACATGTAAATTAGAGCAGTCAAATGTTATTGTTCCCCATCTGTCTTTATTTTTGCAATTTATTACCTGCCTCCGGGCAAGAACATGTAATAATTTTGTTACTACTACTATGATACATTAGGTAGGGGTTACTTATATTTTTTTATAAAACTTCATGCAATATTCTTTGTGGAAGAACACCATTACTAACACTTCAGAGGCCTCTGTATAGTAACACATGTATGCTCATAGACATGCTGATTTGTTATACAGAATCAACCAAACGATATAATGAAGTCTCAAGTCTCACTCCCCATTGTGATGCTGGCTTCTGCGTTCTCTGTCTTGGGACAACTTTTGTTCAAGGCCTGAAAAATGGCAGGGTGTATATTTCATTTGGTATAAAAACAAATATTGATTTATACGACGTAGATAATGCGGTATAACAATATTATCAATAATTGCACGCGCACATATGAGTAGACAGTTATGGGTGTGAAATGTCTACAAAATGATTCCACTTGTAACGTGATAGGAAAATAAACGCTTGAACATAAGTAAGAAAAGTAAAAAAAAATAAATACAAGGATACCCCTACAACTTTGCCAATAGTCTTTGTCTATTGGGAGATTTCATCACCCCGAAGGATGTAAAAAGTTTACCTTTTTAGTAAGTTTGCGCCCCTGGTGTCCGAAGCACTCGAACAGCCCGACGATAGCGCCGGCGGTGATGCCGAGGAGAAGCACGATGAACACGCCCTTGAAGTTGTTGATGCGGAGGACGCCATCTTGTTGCTGGTGCGTCATACACTTGCCGGATTTCTCCAAATGCCTAAAGAGAAAAGAAAATCAGACTTAAGTACAAGGATCGGCCTTTTAACCCCTAATAGAGCTTGATATCCTAGAGCTCAGTTACAGTCAAAAGGCAGATACAAATACATGGATACATAAAACAAATATACACATACTAGTAAGTGTATGATAGATTTCTACAGATTAGGAACAAATACAGTATAGATTCAAATGTTTATAGAGCGAAGAACTTGACTTGCCTGGTTACCAAACATATCACAATGTGTAGCTCCCGAATCCTACATCCGTTTTTCGGAGTAGGAATGTAGGACTCGGAAGC